ATAGGCGTCCAGACCCTCAGACTGGTGGGAGGAGGAGGAGGAGTGAATGGAGGGGGGCCCAAAGGAGTAGCGCTCATGACTGTCATCTGCAAAGGAGAAAGGGACTGTTAGGCCCCAGCAACGGCCAGAGGAAGTGCTGAGGGGGGGCCCTGGACCTGCTGGGATGGCCATTAATGACGGAAGGGAGGTTGGCCTGGGCACTGGGCGGTGGATTGGAGTCCTCCAGCCTCTGAGCTCCCTGCCAGCCTCCCAAGAGGGTGATCTCTGAGAGTCCCCAGGACAGATGGTGGAGTCCTCGATTGTTCTCCAATAAAGCCATTTCCCTGCCTCCAGGAGTCCCCTCTGATTAGGAAGCTTCACCAAGTATCTGGATTTTTAAGAATCCTTTTTTGTATCTTGAAAGGGGGGAGCTTCCAGTGAATAGTTGCTAGCTCTGCTTTGAATTGGTTCCCCAGATTTTCATTTTGGGACCACTTGGGTCTCACTACCACCCACTGGCTTCCTGGCCTATGGGACTGACCCAGGTCTAGACCAGATATAGAGGCCCCTGCCTGTCTTTTCACCTCAGCTGGACCCCAAGGACGCTGGGGGAAAGATGACCATGCCATGCAACTCCTGGCCACTGCGATGGAGGGATTTGCAAATCCTGCTTGGGGTTGATAACAAAGGCTTCTCTGCAAAGGGATTTTTTCCCGACACTGCAAAATACTTTGGATGGTTGCCCAGGATTCTCTTCCCAGCTCCCTCCTTTCTGAAACTCTTTCAATTCTCATTACCCAGCCTCGATTAGGTGCTAACCTCTCTTTAACACTTGATAGCTTCTGATGGTCCCCCATTAAGAAGGACCACTAATCTTTTATCTGCTTGCAGCCTTAGCTGGCAAGGGGTGGAGGCAGGTTAGGGGGAGCCCTGTGACTGAGGGGACTGGCAGGGCACACCCGGAGGATTCTGAGCCACAGTCTCCCATACTGCCAGCTTTGTAGGACCAAGAGAAGCCACCACCCTCCCGAGGCACTGAGCCATCTCCTGAGGGGACTTCCTACTCAGCCCTTCCTCTTCTGCCTCCACCTGCTGATCCTCCAGATGCTCCTTGGGCTTGCAAACCTGCATCTACCTGCCCACTGGGTTACAGCTATATCACCACAGTCTCTGCCAAGGCAAGGACTCAGGGACGTGAGTCTCTGTGTCCCGTGCACCTAGCACAGGGCCTGGCGAGGCATGTGCTGGGCTGAACAGGACTTCCTGGCTGGGAAAGGAGAGTGGTGAGTGTCTCACACACGTTCTCTGCAGCTGGACACCAGGCTCTCTGTACGGCCTATTCTGGGCCAAGGGAATACCTGCTCCATAACTCCAGTTCTACCCATGGGGCCACTTTAGGGCTATCACATGGCCTCGGTCCCCAGTGTCTGCCTGCCTTATACCTCCAATTTTAGGGGATGGAGAATAACTTTGATTCCCACCTGCTTCAGCTGCGGTCCCCACTGCCCCATTCTTACTACTCATTTTGTGCAGGTTGGTTCACAGCTTAACACAGGCATTTCTTATGAGAACTCCCTGCTTCTAATCCCCCCTCCACTCTACTGTTTTTTAGTGCCTCTAAGACTTCATTTCTTCATCTGTAAAATGAGGATGACAACAGCATTTCTGAAAGCAGTTGTGGAAATCAGATTAAGCTGGATCAGGTACACAGGTCAAGCACCTTCACGGTGCTCAGTCACAGTACATGAGAGCTGTTCTTTTTTTAAAACCCAGACCTAATTCTTGCTCAACAGCTGGATGGCTCCCTATTGCCTACAAAATTGGTGCATCTCCTGGCCACAGGTAAGAAGCCCACCTGAGACAGGCTTATCTTCTGTGCTCAGGCACTACTCTTTGAATTCATTCCACACATACTTCCTGAGGACCTACTATGGGCCAGGCTCCTTCCTAGGTAGGCCCTGCTGGGGGTCAGAGGCCTGTAGGCGGTGGCCCTGCTCATGCTGGAGTGCAGGTGACGCTGCACCCATGACACCCCTCAGATCCGACAGGTACGTACCATCCAGGTCTAAGGCGTCAAACCCACCACTGTCGTTGTCCTCTTCGACTGTGCTGCAAGACACAAGGGAGGGATAGGGAGGGCATTTGTGTGCATGTGTGTGTGTAGGTGGGCGAAAGGTGGGGAGCTTCCAGAACATCCCAGCTTTCTGAGAGGCCTTGGTTCTGAGAGGGCAGTGTGGGCAGGAGAGGAAGGCCAGCAGCTGGGCAGAGGGATATGGGGCAAGAAGGGCTGGATGAAGCCGCACCGTGCAGGTTTAGGGGCGGCAGGACAGCTACGCAGAGGGTGCTGCGTCCTCCAGCAGGTGAGGAGGAAAGATAAAGAGCAGGTGCGCAGAGGTCCCAACAGCCCCACTGCTATCCATTTCCTTTTCACTCTTCTTTGACACAGAGAGTAATTAATATCCATTTGTACTCAGATGGGCTGCAAGGCCGGACAGGTCTAGAGAGCCAAGTGCCCTCCAGACAGGAGGGGATGGGAGCAAACCTGAGTGTGCCCCAGGAGTCCTCAACAGAGTCACAAGGTGGTGGCGGCATCAGCGTAGGGCCAATGTGGCTTCCAAAAGCCACCTCCAGCACCTCCTCAAGCTGGCCAGGAGACAGCAGCCTGCCAACGACGACTGTGAGGAGTGGTCCCACAGTGGGGAGTGAGCTGATGGACGGACTTGGGTGGCTCTTTGCTGCTGACCCTAGACAGGAGGGGATGGGAGCAAACCTGAGTGTGCCCCAGGAGTCCTCAACAGAGTCACAAGGTGGTGGCGGCATCAGTGTAGGGCCAATGTGGCTTCCAAAAGCCACCTCTAGCACCTCCTCAAGCTGGCCAGGAGACAGCAGCCTGCCAATGATGACTGTGAGAAGTGGTCCCACAGTGGGGAGTGAGCTGATGGACGGACTTGGGTGGCTCTTTGCTGCTGACCCAGAGCCGGACAGGGAAAGTCACGCTGAGGGGGCTGCATGCAGGCTCTTGGCAGGACCTGGGATGTGGATCCAGCCCCCTCAGCCACGCCTTGCTCTTAGCCCCTTGGAAACCACCCAACAACCTCTGACTTTGAATGTGATGTGCCAAATATCTGGCTGATTGTAAACACCTGGATGCCAGGGTCACCTCCACTGTGATTATCCCTGTTGAGGACATGAATTATTCGGGGAGGGGTGGAAGATGTGGGCAGAAAGTGGGGAAGCCACTCATGGGTCTCTTACTCTTCTGCCGAAACAGCCAAGCCCTGGGGCCACAGGAGATAAAACCTGATTTCTGGGCAGCTTGGGGCCAAGTGACACAGGTTTTGTCATTTGATAGCTGGCTGGGTGACCCTGGGAAGGCCACTTCCCTTCTCTGAGCCTCAGTCTCCTCATTTGAACAATGCACACCATCCTGCCCACCTTTCAAGGTTGCTTCAAGGACTGCTGAATTAGTAAGAGTGGAGTGGCATGGGGACAGGAAAGTGAGCTGGCATGCAGCAGGGCCAGGCAAATGCCCCACCTCCTCCCTCCACTTGCCACACACCTGCGATGAGGTGCGTCTTCCTTATAACGTCTGACGATGGAGTCGTTTCCTGGGGGTTCGGCGGTGATTGACATGATGCTACTGCGGCTCCGGTGGGGCTGCTTCCAACACACACACGCAAATGTGTTATGGGAGCTGTATATTTATACGCCAATGCCTCTGTGGGCATAAATATTATATACATGGGGACTAAATTTAACTTGGATTTGTTCCTGCCTCCAACTCCAGCAGCAAGCTGGTTCTCAGCAGCAACCTTGGCCAGAGAAGGCTTGTGCTCAGCCTGGGGCGGCCGCAGCCACTGAGCTTGGAGCACATCTGCTCGCACATCTGCTCCAGGGGAGGATGCAGGCGGAACCAACCAAGGCTCGGCAGGCCAAGGTGGTGCCTTGCTACACTGCACAGGCTGAGGTCCATGTCCCCAAGGCTGTGCCTGCTGTGGGCACCTGCTCTGGACACAATGGAGAGTGTGGGCCCAGCATGTGGGAGGGGCAATGGATACCCCCCAGCAGCACAGCTGCTGGAGAGTGACCTTTGAAACTAGGTCTGCAGGCTCCTGGCAAGGGCTGCCTAAAATAAGAGTCTTGGATTTTGCTACTCAGAGCTGCGATCAGACGGGAATCATTCATTATAAAATCTTTGCCTCCCCCAGGGCCTGATTTTGGAAGCTGAGCTGACAAGCTTCCTAGTGCTTCCCCTTGGGGTTAGAATTTCTAATCCTGTGCCTTCTGCTGCCTGGCTGGGGGCGAGTGACACTGGATCTGGTGGCTGGGACCCTGCCTGGCTCTGTCCAGGTGGGCTGGAGCCGAGGAGTTGGGGGCTCTCTTGGGTGGAGGGGGCCCCAAGCCTAAGCTCTGCAGCACTGGTGACTCCAGCCACTTGCCTCCCCAGGCTGCCAGAGTTGCCGGCGGCTGAGAAGTTGCGGCAGAATTTTCAGCTGCCTGTGCAATTCGCTACGGCCCCTCAGAGGCCCATCTCCTCCTCCCACCAAGTGTTAAATTGGGAAAGGAGGCGGCAAGAAGGTGTAAATACATTGTGAGCTGTGGAAACATCTTTAAATAAACATAAGCAAGGCCAAGGCTGCAACCCTGGACAGAGAGTGACGCTGCTCACAGGCCTGGGCTCAGGGGGGAAGGCAAGGTCGGTTGGGGTCTGGGGGTGGACAAAGCTAGTGGCCCCGGGGACAACATTCTGCAAGGGGCGTCAGTGGCAGGGTCAAGCAGGACTGCAGCTCACCATCTTTGTGAAGGAGCTGGTGACAGGCAGAGAATTGGAGGAGCTGGGGCTGGCGTCTGTGCCTTCTTCTTCGTGTCCCTTGACTGTCCTCATTGGAGATGGGGCAGGAGAGACAGAGAAAGGGGAAGGGTGGGGGGAGGGTTTGAGGTAGAAGAGAGAGGGGAGAGAGGAAAAAGGGTGGGAAAAGGGAAATCAGAGCCACTGTGGCCAGTGAGCAATCAAGCTTTTCTGCCTGGCTCTGGGTCCCAAACCTCCTTTTGCCAAGGACGGGGACGAGGCTCCTCTTTCACTTGGGGGCTTGCTCGCCCTTCTCTGGCATCCGCTGGAAGAAGAGCCCTCAAAACCTTCTACTCTTTTTTCCCGGAGGGGGGCTGGTCTTGTTCACCAACATATCCCTGCCCCCAGCCGGGTCCGGCCCAGTGTGGCCTCAGTCAAGGCTGAAGCATGTCACTTGTCTCTGGGGATCTATGTTGGGAGGGGGTCCCTGGTTGGCAATGGACAATGGACAACTGGGAGCACAAGCCTCTCAGTGAAGCAAGAATACTCCTTCCCAATTACTCCACCACTAGAATGGAGTCCACCTTTCCCCTATACACAGGGTTGGCTGGCTGGGGGACTAGGGCAAATTGGGGGCAAAGTCTGTCACCTCCTCAGCAAAACCTTCCTTGGTGCCCTCCCTGCTCCATCAGGGGCTGCCTGGGACTTTGTGCACACTCCCCTCAGCCCCATCAGACGGCTTTGCCATTTGTGTCCCTCCCAACTGCTGTGCATTCATGCATGTGTGTGCACGTGCACCCAGGCTGTGGGCACCTTGAGGGGAGGAACTGTGCATTGCACTTCCCTGGGCCACCAGCACCTCACACTAGGCAGCCCGTCATGGTCTGGTGAGGAGCAAAGAAGCCCCACGGCCCCACTACACATTTTCTCTTCTTTTTGGGGCAGACACCCTCTCTACCTCCCATAGGCCCTGGGCCCTTTGCACATCCATTCTGATAAAAAAGGTCGCTGAGATACCTGATGTAGCCATGGGGGAGCTGAACCAGACCCCTGGCTCTGCGCTCCCTCCCCTGCCCTCTGTACCCCAAGAGAGCTGCCTAAAGCCCAGGTCTGGACTCCTCACACTCCTGCCCTCCTCGAAGCAGGTCGCTGAGATACCTGATGTAGCCATGGGGGAGCTGAACCAGACCCCTGGCTCTGGGCTCCCTCCCCTGCCCTCTGAACCCCAAGAGAGCTGCCTAAAGCCCAGGTCTGGACTCCTCACACTCCTGCCCTCCTCGAAGCCCTTGCTGGGGCAGGATGAAGTCCACATCTTTAGCATGGCACTCCAGGCCCTGCCCACCCCACGGTCTCACTCCCAACGCCCTCCTGCTCTGTGCTCCGGAACGGCAGAGCAGCTTTCCACACCATGCACGCCTGTCCCACCTCTCTTTATGCTCCCTCCCTCTATCCTGAGGAGTCCTTCCAGATACTTTGTCCACTGGCCAAAACTTTCTTTTCCAGGCCCAGTATAAATGTCCCCTTCTTTTATTTTATTTTATTTTATTTTATTTTTTTTTGTCTTTTTCCGTGTCTGGCAACGGATCGCAACCCTCAGTGTTGCCCC